CAATGAATCTTTGACAATTTCTTTTGCACATGCAATGTATAAAGTGTAAAATATTGTAGTAAATCATTATATATAAATGATTATGGTGTGTTTAATTTTTTTTTCATTAATTACTACATATTTTCTACACTCACAGTGTTTGTCAGCTCGCTGTATAATCAACTTAAATCAATTGAATCCATCATGTAATGCATTTCCTTCTAATTTTTTTTGATAAACTAATAGACAATTGACTAAATAAACATTCTCCAAAGTTTCAATAAAAATTTCCAAGTTTTTCTTACAATTTCTGTGGTTTTTATTCAATTTTTATCGATATCGATAATATCTCGATATTTTGTTTGTAGTGCTGGGCGTACTTTTGATCACCTGGTTGGTGCTATTTTGGGCTTATGGGCCTTCGCTCTCCACACAACATTACAGCCCATTTATTTTGGGCCTTGCCTTTTTTTTTTATTACCCTCTGATGGGGTTTATACAGATATATCCGATAGATACAAAAAATAAATTACATCATTCAAAAATAAGGAAAATAAACCACATCATTCTGGTGGGGTGTTTATTCCTTGCTTTTGCTTGTGTTTTCCTGCTGCACTCTCTCTGTCTCTTCATCTGGCAGACAGAAGGAATCATAATAATAGGAAGATCTTTTGCTTTTCTTCTTTTCTCTCCACTGCGTCTCTGTCTTTTGCTTTTGTGCCGCAGCTCATTTGATTGTTTTTCTTTCTGCTTTCTTCTTTTGCTTTTCTTTCTCTTTTCCATTTCCTGCACATTCTCTTGTAAAACGTAACAGGACAACCTTGATACCACCCACTTGCTTTCTTTTGCTTTTCTCTAAAGTGACAACTGACAGGTATCACTATGAACACCAATGATAGGAGCATATTTATGCGACTTAGTTAGATTGTTTCTTGGCATTTATGTTGTTAGTTCATAGTTATTTTAGTATTTTAAGCTATTTTCGTGTGTTGTAGGTCCAAAGGGTTAATGTGGCAAAGAAGTGCATTTTGGAGCATTTTTGGGCATGGAATGGATAACATATGCTTGGAGCAAAAGGAATGGACGAAATTTGAAGTTTGTGCATCATCCTCTCCCTATAAATGGCCATTTTAGCACACTCATTTCACCCAACACATCCACTCATTACAACCACCCAACATATTCACCTACCACTACATCCACTCATTTCACCCAACACATCCATTCACCTACCACTACATCCACTACACCCATTACATCTACTCATTACCAAACACTCACTCACTACACCCATTACATCCACCCATTACCACAACACTCACCCACTACACCCATTACATCCACTCATTACCAAACACTCATCCACTACACCTATTACATCCACTCATTACCAAACATCCATCCACTACACCCATTACATCTACTCATTACCATAACATTCATCCACTACACCCATTACATCCACTCATTACCAAACACTCACCCACTACACCCATTACATCCACTCATTACTAAACATTCACCCACTACACCCATTACATCTACTCATTACCACAACATACACCACTACCACCTTAATTAGATGGTGGTCCTCTCCCTAGCCTATAAATACATCCACCCTTCACCATAATGAGGGAGGAGATCCATCCAAAGACACATTCACAGGGACAGTTTAGGGAGAAGGGAGGAAGACACATTCTGCTGCAAGGCAGAGTCTTTTCTTCTTAACCATTCTACACATTCCCACAACAAAAACACAATTTCATGCACCTTCATTTCCCTTTCCTTGCAGTGATCTCCATCAATCCAAACACATCCATTCATCTTCACATCCATTCCTTCATACAAACAAACCTTCAAACACTTACCAACACCTTGTGCCGTAGCAAAGGAAGGGAATGAAAGTGCTTGGACGTGCTTGCTGTCCAACTTGGATCGTTGAATCGTTTAGGTGTTTTCTTTATTTTGTTTCTAATGTTTAAATTCATTTTCTTTCGTTTGTTGTAAATATGAGTGGCTAAACCCCTCTTGGCTAGGAGTAATTTCAAAGCCATGATTATGTGTGTAATATGATTTGATAAATTCCAGTTATGAACTCTTGAATTGTAAATGCAATTGGCTTAACTATTTGATTGATAACTTATATGTATTTGTTAATTAAGGGTCGACACTTAATTGGCATGCATAATCCGTTGCTAGAATATAAGGAAGTTTCACATAATCGTTACAAACTTATATTCACATGTAGTGAAGGTCGCTTATAAACGATCGCGTTAAGTTTAATTCTAGCATGAGTAACATGATGTCATAGTTGCAAGTGCTTTGTCAATGCTTATGATTTTCATTAAACGTAATGATCTTTGATTGTATCTATATTATGATGTCATGTAGGGAACTTTAGAAGAATGTTTTGGGTTGTCGAATGATGTCATCCAATCCAATAAAACAAGGAAAATTTGAGAGTTAACTAGTGATGTCACGGTTAATTTGGAGCATTGTCGTTCATAATTCAATGAAGTAGTAATTGGAAATCGAGTTATTTGCGTACATGTCATGTGTGGAGAAAAAGCCTCTAGCTATCTCATCCATCATCTTATTTCTCACATTTGTTTTACAATCTGTCTAATTTTTCATACTTGTTTGTTTGTTTCAACTTCATCCAAATCAAAACCCCCTTTTAGTTTTTTGTTTCAAAGTGTTTCAAATCTGTTTTAGTTGTATTCTTAAGTGTTTTGATTCAAGTAAAAGTCAATTTCGTCCAAAGTCATTCCTAGTGTCTAGTTTAAGTTTATTTGGTTGTTTTAAGCTGTTTTGAGTATTTTAAGTTTGCTTTGAGTCTTGTGAGTCTTGTTAAGTGTTTTTAAATTTAGTTTTATGTTTTTGAATCAGTTTAGAGGTTATTAGCAAGCTCTCCTAATCCCCGGTCCAGAACGATCCATACTTATACTACAATTGTCAAAAGAGGGTTAAATTTGTGTGTTAAGTTAATTTTCGCATCAACCAACCAAAGATACCCAGTTCTTTTCTGCCATGCCATGCCGTCGGGTTTCCCACTGCCTGTGGATGGGCGGGTTCTCTTGCTGAAGAAACCCGACCCGGAAAATGCTTGGTACGATGGGAGAAAGAGCATGGAGCTATCATGTCAACTTATTGAATATCTCCACGCAAAGATAGCAGTTGATACTGCTCTAATAACACTTATTGCAAGACCAAATTTCCCTTTGATTGTGGCGAACACTGGTAGCTGCAACTGGTAGCTGCAAAACCTGGTAGATATGATGAGGTTCTGCACGTATTGAAGGACTTCAACCTGCTTCCTCTCGGGCATGACCCAAACCCCACATGCAAAACGGTGCCGTTTATTCGGCGTTTCAAATCCACCGGCCTCTGGATAACGTCATTGTAGGTCTCGAAGAGGCGGAGGCTTTTAGAACTGGACGCGATCGAAGCCATGTGACGGTTTGTGGAATGTGACTGAGCTTCCAATTTGGCCTTGAGGGTCATGAACTGGTCATTGTTCATTTTGCACGCTCCACCCCACACAGTTTTTCACTCTGCAAGAGAGCTTTGCAATTCTAGTGGGCCGCTCAAACCATCGCCTCACAAACCATAGCCTCACAATCTCAAATTACCATCCACGCGTAGATCTTGACACGATCGACACGAATCCGATGGAAATAGACATAGAAGATAATCCATGGATCACAAATCTGGAGAAGAACTCTGGAGGTGTATGAAGTTGTGAGAGGCGAGAAAGAATATTTGGTGGTGCGAACCTTGAATTGAGAACTGCAATTGCTGAGATGGTGGAAGATATGCCGTTGAGCAGAGAAGAAGAGTCTGGGTGAAAGGGAAAAAAAGGCTAAAAGTAGTGGGTCATGAAGAAACACATGGAAGGAGAAGAAGAGACAGTTTCTGTTTTTCTCTCTTATTATCGCCTTGAATTCATTTGTAATTGCGATGAAATTGATAACTCGGCCAAACTCTAGAGAGAGAAAGTGAGGAGAGAGAGAGAGCTGGGAGTTTTCTGGAAAAGCCCAAGGAAGAAGGTTTTGGGTTTTTGGGTTTTCCTGGGAAAGCTTTGGGTTGTTGGGTTTTTTTGCAGATTTTGCAGATTCACGGTGAAGGTGGAAAAATTGAAAGAGAACAGACATAGTTTTTCGTGTCGATTCCCACAGACGGCGCCAAATGTTGATGCACAAAACCAAAGGTCTTGGAACAACGTAAATTCGACCGTGAATCTGCAAGTAATGTAAATAACACAAGATGTATCGTGGTTCACCCCAAGGTTTGGGCTACGTCCACACTGATTATATTTCTCTGAGAGTATTTGTGAGAGAGAGAGTGTGAGAGCTTTGCTCTAGATAGGAGAGGCTTAGGGTTTGTGAGGGTGATGATGCCCTTTTATAGAATAAGGGCTCCTCCCCTTTTTACATATTTGCCCCTTCCTTTATTACATAATTACATTTGAGTCCCCCGAGTATTTATACGAGATCTAAATACGGAGGCCCTAAGTATGGTATAAACAAGTCTGATACTGCTTATCCTATTCGACTAAAATAGTCAGTACAGTTTGAGCTACCAAACAAGGCCTATAACAATCTTGTAATTGTTTTGATATATTTTCTTATGTATTTTGAGGGACAAGACTTATTACGTCTCCCTAAATAAGGGTATATTTCTTATTATTAATGAAAGTCTTTTGTATCGTCGAGTTTTATTCATAATAATTTTATTTGGGTATTATTATTGTCCCTCTAAACAATTTATAGTGCAATCCTTAGAATTAGATTTTTCTTGCAAAGTTAAGGGAGTTAGTGCACAACGAGTTTTTGAAGTATCAACAACAACTCCCTTTTATTTATGTCCAAACAAAAATAAGGAGGCTTTTTGACAGGTTGTGTAACTTAAAATAACAGTCCGCTCGAGAGAAAAAATTTATGACTCTGTCTTTGCACATGTATTGTTATTATTCCACATGTTATATATTATATAATATGGTTGAACTGTAGAATTAACTAGTATTAATGCTTGCATGTTGCTGCATGTTGTAAAAGCGATAAAACATGTAAAAGGTTTTTAAATGTATTTAATATGATGCGTTTAAAAAAAAATTGTAACATACTTACTATTGTTGATCAGGAATCTTGTACAATAGTAATATTGGATGATGGCGTTATAATCATAAAAATTTCTTCTAGGCCAGCACGAACTGTCATAACCTTTGAAAATAACAATTGACAAAAACCTGTCCACATCGGAGATATAACATTGATGACATAGGATAAAAGCTATCATTCTTCTTGTAACATTATTACGAAAAAAAGGAAAAAGAAAAGCATTGAGTCGCTTTCCTTCCAAATCAAATTTACTTACCATGGGAGAGGTTGATAGAGCTTTCATCTAGATCCCAAGCACATGCCAAAGCTTTCAATCATTGAAGGTGATGGTATATCGTTGATTGACTTGTCCCCTATGAACATGTTAGAAAACGTTTATGAGCCAAAAGCTATTGAGGGGCTTGTTAGAAAGTTAGCAACAAGTGTTCAAAATGATCAAATATGCAGTATAATTGGATAAGCTGTAAAAGACTCATGTTGTTTATAGCAAGTTTTTATCTGCTTTTCGAGGATAGAAGGAAGATTTGGAAAGATGAGCATACCAAGAATGTGAGAGACTGGAAGCAATTTGATTTCAGTGAAATAAGTAGAAAACAATGGAATTTTTCTTTACAAATTTACTTGAATTTCCAATACCATAAATAAAGTGACCATACGGAGGGAATCGAAAAAAACCGAACATTGTAAAATTTTTGGTGGATGTACAGCACTGCAAAAATAAACTTATGCATGGATTATACACTGTAAACTTCATTGAAGGTATAATGTTTGATTTCAATATTACTCAGAAGACAATTTATCGAAAAAAAAAATTGGAGTAAGTGTGATAAAAATTTACCTTAACATCGCCATTATGAAAATTGGCACGTTGGAGACTTTTTGGTTCAACCTGAATAGAAAATCAACAGAATTTCAAACGGAAACAATCAGTATTTTCTCAAACCTGAAATTGAATCATCATAAAATGAATTTAGTGGAAGTTGTTTGTTTTATAACTGTTATGCTTGCAATGAACATTGTTACTAAGGAAGAAAATTATTGTAGAATTAAACGGTTTTTATATCAAAAGGAAAGAAAAGTACCTGTGCGGTTGTTTATAGTGAGCATGGGTAAAGCATTAGCAACTTTAGTGATATTTACCTTGGGTGAAAGTGTAACTGAAATAAATTGTTGGAATTTGGAAAAAAAAAATCATATATTCTAGAATATGAACCTGCAAAATGAATGAGCATATATTAGAACTTTAATTATGAAAACTCTTAATTTTCATAGCTGTTAAACTGTGGTGTAAGCTGAGGAATACAACTATAAATTTTCATCGAGTACTACCCTTTTGCTTGGGCACGCTATAATAATTAGGGGGTCTGCATTGTTGAAAACTCACAAAAAATCATAAACTTATAGGAGGTTCCTTATAGTTATCACACAATGAAAATTACAAAGAACAAAACATGAAAAACCTGAAAAGGATATGGGAATGCATTGTTGCCACAATCCACATTGACAACTGCAATTTTTCTGCAAGTTGGAAATGATGAAATGGTCAGTGCAAACATTACAAACAGATTGAAAAACAAAAAGTAAAGCCAAGGAAAAACTTGAACACACACCAAAAACTGAAATGCTATAGCACTTCTATATTTCTATCATTTTATTTATTCATTTTAAACTGAAAATTTTGCACTGTTTACTTTAGTTGGTGGACTTGAATCCCAAGAGGTTTGACAAAGGTATTTATAATTTTTTCCCATTTTGATTTACCATGGTTTAACAGGTAGTTTAGTGGGAAAACCTAGAAATAGATTTTTGCTTATAACATTCTTTCCTGGTGATAATTAAGAAATTCGGAGCAAATGGATTTGTGAATTCGAATGATAATGACAAACCAGTGCACGAGATGAAAAATGATTTGCTATTCTTATTATGTGTGGGACATGAATCAACATAGATAGTTAAGTAGTAACTTTGACTTACATTTTTATTTTCTTTCTACTTTTCATCTACCCAAGTGTACGATGTACATGCAATTAAGGAAAATACTGAGATATCAACTAGTGCAGAAACTCCTTAAACTAATTGCATACAGCTCTGAAACTACCTCTTCTATTCAAACGTGGAGGAGAGAAACTCCACCACGTTTGATGCAAAGCAGTTTGTCTCAAATTGCAGCTTCCTCGATTTCTCAAATCTCAATGATCAATTTGCAGTGTCCCTCAAGCGGTTTCTCTCGAACTCTTACGATTTGCATTTTGTTTCTCTCCCTACACTCTCATCAGCACTATCACTGCTCTCTCAGATGAGCACTACAAGTTTAAGCCTGATGTTGGTATGTGATTTCCACTCCATCTCATTTTTTTTTTTTTAATTTTATGGTAATTTTCAACCCTTTTGTACAATCAGGTAATTCTTCATATAATTGAATAATAGAGATTTTTTTCTCTCTCTTTTTTAGCTGCATCGGTTCATTGGCTTTGACGTTGACATAAGTAAATGGGAAATCATTAATTGGTATGGATCAAGATATATTTCTTGTGTTTTTGGATAATTTAAAGGGATATGCAAATAGATGGGAATAGTAGAATTCATTTTGATTAAAAAAGAAGAGAGAATAACCTTGCTGGATTATACTTCTTGGTTGTTTAATGAAGTTCACACTAAGTTAAATAGATTGACGAATTTAGTTTTTTTATATTGAATTCTTACTGATTCTAATTCGTAATATATAGCAAGAGAAAAATCCTGGGCAAAGCAAAAAAGAACATGCACCAATTTAACAACATGCTGACTAAGAAAAAGGATGGTCATTCCCAAACAAGCAAGACCAGAGATTGAACAGGAAAAATCATAAACACAGAGCAGATGGTTGTGAATACTTTGATTGGTAAGAAATTGTGTGTTGTCATGTGCATTCTTCATTGTTTGCACTTTCAATTTAAGAGGATGCAATATATTTTCAACGGTACCATATCTTTTCAGATAATCAAGGGAGGATGTCCATTGTGTGTTATTAGGGTAGCTCAAGTGCAACAATTTTGTGACAGATATTAGTTTGAAACATTGATATTTTTCGGTTCTTTGACTGCCTTCACATATCTCTTCCGTTTTAAATGATTAAGAGCTTAATCTATTTGTGTTTATATAGAAATAAAAAATGGTTATAATTAAAACATTACGCTTAATTTTCTTTTGGTATTTGTTTGATTTTCTTTTGTTGGCTGTGTTTTGTAGCTCATTAGAAACAATAAGCAAGGGAAACCTATAACCAAGGGTTTATTTATTTTTTCCAAATGGTTTTCATCTGTTGTAGGTAAACGGGAGCTACTGTGCTCTTTATGCAGTAAGGTTCACCATCAGCTCTAGATACGAGCATCATGGCAAAGTTGAAGTATGCGTAAATGGCAAGAGTTTTGGCCTTAATTGGAAGTTGTAGCGAGGGTAACTATATTGGGACATGTAATGAGAAGAAATGTTTAAGTAGCTGTGGGGAGGTAATAAACATGTTTACTTCTGGCCTATGCTTACTCTAAGGTAATTGCCAAACTAGTTAATTACACACGAAGCTAAAAACTTTTGGCCAACTAACCTTATCTTAATGCTTTAATACGCTACTTGGTTTCCAATCCTGCTTAAAATTGAAGAATGACTACTCTTGCGGAGTTGTATTGGACAGAATAGCTATCCTCGAGGTAACTGTAGCACCTGAGAATTTTGAAGGTGATCCGATCGGAGGCCATTTGCAGCTAATGATTCTCAATTTCTCGAGTACACCATTAAAGGTCCTCTATCTTCATTTCTCATTGACATTTTTTTCCTTGATAACATAGTTCACAAGGCTTTTAGCCTGTTATTATGATTAATATTAACAAATATTCTTATAGCGCGTTTAATAAACCGGAATGGATGTTGAAGAAAAGGAATGGAATTCCTTCTTAAGTGATTCCGCCGTTTACCAAATTTTGGGAATGAAAGAATTAGTGGGCTCCACCCAAAATCAGTAATTGGATTCTTGATATACTTGGAATCCAAATACTGACTTGGAGGTGGTAATTGAATTCCGTAAGAAAGCCAACAGCTGGAATCAAACTTCTCTACCGAAATTGTCCTATCCCTCCCATATGCCTCCCACGATTCAACCACCCAAAACACACCCATCCCCACCCTAAACCACCACAGACTACCGGACCACCTCCCAAACTGCCAAAACCTATCACCAACCCACCCCAACAGTTCTACAAACAAACTCCCGACAGCCCCAGATCCAAATTCGGATGGGGAAAGAGAGATGCATATGATCATAGATAAAAGAAAAACCTTGTGATATACCCACTGCGAATCGAATTTCGATTGTAGACGTTTTTACAGAGAGCATAACATAAAGCATTGAGCGGCCGACAAAGGGTTGAGAAATCCAAGAATGGCCACAAGCAAGGAGTCCATGGTTTACCACAAAAAAAAAATCTTCAGGCTGATAGAACCTAACAAGATCAGGAAGGGCAAGAGCTGGCGCTTGGGGATGATCGCAAAATCAATTTATGGATGCAGACAGGGAGAGCTAGTGTTGTGGTGGAACGGTGGAGGTACCCGAACCTTCTTTTTATTTTATTTTTTGAGTTTTTAACTTCTTTTCCTTATTGAATTAGGTTTTTACTCTTTAAAAAATAAAAAGAGTTTAAGTTTTATTAAAATGTTATGATTTTTTCTATTATTTAGATTTAGGGTATTTTAGTAATCTTATTAATTTCCATTCCGATTAAGGTGAATTAATAAACAACTTATATCATTTCAACTCCGATTCCAGAACATTATAGTAAATAACTTTGACAGGAATTCAATTCTGGCTTCTCCCTGATCCAATTCCTCTTTAATTTAATTCATCCTCAATTCAATTCCTCTTATTTTGATTACTGATTAGTAAACGGGCCATTAGAGAGAGAGAGAGAGAGAGAGAGAGAGAGAGAGAGAGAGATGGATATACCAACTGGTGCATTTTCAAGGAGTACTAGAACATCATTATTGGAATTAGATAACTATCTTTGTATGTTTATCAATTTATTCTTTATGATTTTCAGTTTCCTAAATGAAGTTTGACATGTATGAAATTTGACAATTGATCTTCCTTTGCATTCTTGCATATAAACTGCAAGTTAGTTTATGCTAAATGTTGTTTTATATTTTAGAGAAAAGGTTTCAATTGTCATGCAATGCAGCTGCAAATTTGATGATTTAGAATTAGCTTATCCATCTTCCATACGATTTCTAATCCCGCAGCAACGCGCAGGCAGCTACGATGCATGGATACGGGAGAAAGCCACTGTATTCCGTATCTAACATGTTGAGGATACATATACGCGCCCGATACGCATCGGAGTGAAGCGATATGTTTAGGACTTACGAGATACGCGTATCGTATTGTCGAGATGAGTATCCTACTTTTTGGATATGTTAATTTCAAACTAAAATAGGAGGATAATCAGAAGAAAAAAAAGAAGAAAAAGTAATCACAATAAATCTGCACAGAATCATGATTGATCGAAGTTAGCTAATTGAAATCACTCTAAAATCGGAGGATAATTAGAAAAAAATAAAATTCGGATTTACCTCACGAACCTTAGAAATCACTCTGCTTGGGAGAGTTTCACGAATCACCATTGACTGTCATTTGCAACTGTTCCGTCGTCTCCGTTTTCTCCGACTGCAACTGCTCTGTCATCTTCTTCGTCTCTGTCTACAACTGCTGGTGAGTGGTGAGCTTTCATTTTCATTTTGTTAATAGTTTTGAATCCGATGCTTTCTTGATCTTACTCCTCATCTTTACTAATTTAATGACTCCATAGTCCATTCGAAGCCTTCATCTGATTCCTCGAGGACAAAACCCATCTCTGAAACTAAAAGCTTAATCTAATTCGAAAACTTTTGCTTTTTTTAAACTAATATTATAATATTATAATAATATATTATAATATCCATACCATTACTCCACAGTCCATTCGAAGCCTTAATCTGATTCGAAGCCTTTTGCTTTTTTGTTTTTAACTTTTTTGTATTATTATAATATTATTGTATTTTTACATATTATAATATATTATTGTGTAGTGGATATTCTTTTTACTTTTTCAAGTTTTAAGACTAAATGCTTGTTGGATGGACTATCTTTCCAATTGTTCAGAGTTTATTGAAATAAATTTGAACTTGGGTAATAAATTTGAATGCTTATTTTATAATGTTTTGGATATATTTATTTATTTATATATATTTTTAATTGCTGTATCCTTGACGTATCGTGTTTTCGTTTTTAGAAATTTGATGTGTCCCCGTGTCGTATTGTGTCGTATCACCCTATCTGTGTCCGTGTCCATGCATCGTAGGCGTGCAGCAATTTCTAGTACTAACTAGTTTACATTTGAGCTTTCAATGAAGCAGATGCATTTTGTGGACTTCTGCAGTTGCTGGAATGGTAAGAACTACATTTTGAACATTTTTGGTCATAAAACATTTCAAAGTTATGAGCTTCATGAGTCCAATTCATTTTCCCTCTCTATTTTTTTGGATGATGATATGATAGATTTTCGCTCGCAGATGTCTACAAACTTGTTCATACTCTGTGACAAGCCTCAAGATGCAAATCTGATATCGATCAGCTTCCGGGGAAGGGAACCTTTTTATGCCAATATTTGGAGTACCGAATTTGACTACTCTTGGTATGAAATTCCAATGTGGGGGAAGCACACATGGGATTCCTAGAAGCCTTAGGTTTGGGGAACAGAACTAATGTTGTAACCTTCCGAAACCACCTTCAATTGAAACACAAAGGGTATGAAAGCGGAAATTCTTCAGAAGGCCCCAAGGCATACTTTGTTGTAAGAAGAAATCTCAAGAGATTACTAGAGGAGCACAAAAATGCAAAATTTGTAGTCACAGGGCATTAGCCTAGGCGGAGCGCTTGCCATATTGTTCATGTCAGTGCTGGTGTTGCATGAGGAGATGAAGGTGATGCAAAGGTTGTTGGGTGTGTACACATTTGGACAGCCTAGGGTAGGGGACAGGAAGCTGGCAAGGTACATGGACGATCGGTTCCAAAGTACTCAGGGTTGTCTACTGCAATGATCTTCTTCCCTGGTTGCCTTATGATTACGAAAACTTCATGTTTAGGCATTTCGGGGTGTGCCTTCAATATGACAGTGGTTACATTGAACATGTAAATCTTGACTATTCAAGCCTTTGATTTTACACTCCGTTTAAGAAATTGTATTAGCACCCCCAAAATAGTCATTCTGCACTCTGCTCTCGTATATCTTTCAAAATCAATATTTTTTCTAGTATGTACTTGGTTATTGTCTCCTTTGACATGCATATTTGGAGAGATAGGAGGATGTGCCAAAAAACCATTACTTTGACATGCATGTAGAACTGTACCTAGTCTCTGGCTTTGTTTCACGTTAGTTTTGTTGTTGTAAAGGGTGCAGAAAGGCAGAGCCCTTAACATTTTCACCAACAGATCAATTTTGTTTCTGCCTGTGAAATGTCCAGATCTCAGCCCCAAAAAAGACTAGAAAGCTTGGTTATTGCATTATTTGAAATTCTCTGTGCAGGACGTTTGTCCTTTATTGAATGGTGGGTTTTGTATCAATAATGTCAAAACATGCATCAATAACATGTTGATACATTTTGCTACCTACAAGTTATTTACCAATATTATCGACCGCTTATCAACACCATATTGATAAAGAACGGATGTCCTATCTGGAGAAAAATCGATTAAACTAGAACTTTCTTTTGCATTAAATATCACTCCAACAATGAAATTGATGCTCCAATTCATCTTGTTCAATCCTTGACACAGTACAAAAAAAAATAGCAAGTCTTCTTTTGAATAACTACAAAAATTCAATGTGTATTTACTCTTTTAAAAGAGGAAATCATATGTAATAATAAATCAGATACAAATTAAGCAAATGGATTTTCTGACCTTTTAGGCCCAAAGAATTGACCATCCCCAAAAACCCACATGTCAATTTCTTTTGCAGATACTCAGCATCAATCATGTGAGCAAATGCTGATAAATTTGTGCCTTCAGGGTACGTTGATACATTTTGCAGATATCCGTGTATTTTCTTCAGACTGTGTGGGCTGATTGAATGGCACTCAGGTCCAAATTCTTGAGCCTCAGTACAGATTCTACATGTCCTCTCAGAGTGTGTATCTCCCCGAGCCTGGCAATTTCAGCGCGTCGCCTCGCCTGTTCTGCAATCAAAGAAGAACGCTTGCCGGTCCTGTTGATCTCAAAGTCTTGTAACCCTTGTAAGCTTTTCTGAGAAAGTATCCACTTAGCTGCCCTATCTTCCTTGCCATAGTCTTTCTTACTAGTAAAAGCTGTCTGTTGAATATCAAAAGCAACATAGAAATCGAAGTTAGCGTTTCAAGTCGAATGCTAGAAAATTTCAATGCAACTTAACTTAGAACATTGCATAAACCTTTCTATCGAATAACAGATTCCAAGCGTCCCCGGTCAAAGCATAGCGAATTGCAAATTTAATGACGTCCAAAGGAATGTAGAAAATCACACTGTACAACCAGATGATTCCGGCCCATCCCCATCCAATGCCGCTGATATATGCAAAGCTGATTGTTGCATATACAGCAATCAAAGTTGCCACCTAATATTTTTACAGAAACAAATTTTCAATACATGAAAATGTAAATCAGATTGTGTGGAAATTTTCTTAGATGCAATCGAAATAGGCCTACCAGTTGAGCCACCACGAAAGCGCACATCAACATAGTTCCGGGCCTCTCAAGGAATGACCACCCCTGGCTTCTTGTCACAAATATGAGAGCCTGGCTGATGATACTGACTTGCAGATATACAGCAGATGAAACTTCCTCACTACTGCTCGATAAATCTCTTACATTGAAGGTTCTCTGCAAGTGATATGAAATCAGTACGCATCATAGATGTAAACCGAGTTAATGTATCTTCTGCTGCTTATTTTGCAGAGGATCTTAGAAAACAAAGTCCGTAAGCCGCATTTCTGTGTTTCATACCTCGAAGAAGTCAGTGTCAACAACAACCCAGTAGAACAATACAGTAACTAAAGCAAGGTATGTGCCAATGACAATGCCAGTAGCAAATATCTCCTTCAGCTTCCAACTATCAGGCTTCGGGGAGGGCTTTACGCGATCCTGTGAAATTGTCATGATGGTTCCTGCATTAAAATTTAAATACAACATCAGTTACTCATTGTTGATAATTGTCTCTGAATGTCTAAACATAACTGATCTACAAATTCGTTTGCGTCTGTTATATTTTTCTTAATATTCTTCTACATGATCTAAAATTTCTTGTTCTTGATGCTTGATCATCTTATTAGAATATAAGGAATAAATATTAACGCTATCACAGTTCAATATATTACCGTCATTCAGTATGGCTATAATCAGAACCATGAAAGGTGGGAAGTCATATTCCCAGATCAATGCAAGAAGCACAAAACCAAGCTGCAGAAGGATGAAGTTTAAAACATTACGGAAAGTTGAAACATAACCAATCTTCAAAGACTTAGCATTAAAGTCTAAAAAATTATTTGAAGGTGAGACTAATATAGAAAACTTACCACAATCCTAATGGTTATGGAGACAGCATATATCTGCGTATTCATGCAAACTAATCAGTTTACCATTGAAATAATGCGGAAACAAAGAACAAAGGTAAACAAAGAAAGGAGAAAAAGAATGCTACTCAACCGTGTAATTCTTCATTCTTTGGAATATAGCGCGACTGGTGAGGACAGCACTGACAATCACACTCAATCCAGGCTCAGTTAAGACTATATCAGAAGCACTTCTTGCAGCATCTGTGGAATCTGCCACTGCTATACCAATGTCTGCTTTCTTTAAAGCAGGTGCATCGTTAACTCCATCTCCAGTCATCCCAACCACATGCTTCTTTTCTTGTAAAATCTTTACGATTTCATACTTGTGTTCTGAAAGTTGCAAATCAAGGATAAGCTAAGTGAGTGATCCAGAGAGAACGTACTTAATTTGTGAAACAGGCGTTCAATTAATTACCAGGGAAGACACCAGCAAAGCCATCAGCCTTCTCAATCAACTCATCCACGGGAAGAGCTTCATGTTCTTCTATGTGGCGGCCTAATAACGAAGAGGAGGGGTACATGTTTGTTCCCATACCAAGTCGCCGCCCTGTCTCCTTTGCAATTGCCAACTGATCACCTGATGTGAGAACAAGAACTCAAGAATCAGTGTCTGTCTTTGACATTTATGCTCAAGGGTTTTACAATTTCAATCAAAAAACAAAGTCAACGATAACATTTGTGTGTGAGACCAAGATTACCTGTAAACAAAGTCAATAAAAAATGTACCTGTAATCATCTTTACACAGACTCCAAGGTTAAGCGCTCTACGAATGGTCTCAGCACTGTCATGCCTAGGAGGATCAAACAAGGGCAACAACCCAGCAAATGTCCATGGACCTCCAGGGCTATCCTTAGTTTTTTCTGGAACTTCCTGGCAGTAGCAAAATTTGGGAGTTGTAAAATGTCAGAAATTTCAACCGGCGCTCAAAAAACCGTTGTTACCAAATTTAGAACAAAGTTTGTCTGGCTTACCTGAAAGGCAACTCCAAGAGACCGCAATCCCCTTTCAGCAAATTTGTCAATAATTGAATGCACCCTTCCAGCAATCTCGTCTTTCTCCGGGCATAGATCTAGAATCTGATTTCAGGATGACAATTATAAAAAAAAACAATAGAAATCATGTTTGTCTAACTGCAACAATTATTACATATAAATTGTAAATCTAATTGCGTTTTCAGTACTTTCCTCACTCTCTACAACATTAGAAGCCTATAATCAGGAGATTATAGTAAGGGGAATAATACTTGGGAAGCAAGTTAAGTTAGGGTTCTTGTTCTCTGAAAACATCAGTACCTGTTCCGGAGCTCCTTTGCTGGCCCGATACCAGTTACCTTCTGAATCAATGTATGTAATAGCAGTACGCTTGTCCACCGGATTGAAGGGCAGAAAATGCACTTCTGTAATGCCTCCTCGTGCCTATAGATGAAAGGGTAATTTTATGTATAAGCATAGAACGGGAAACAGACAAAACTCCAGGGTTGAAGTGTAATCCTATATCCCTACCTCCTTTGGATCACCAAGCATATTGACGATGGCTGCATCAATAGCGTCCTGGTTCTCCATTCTAGCTGCTCTGGCTGCAAACATGATAACCGCGTCTTTGTCTAGATCTTTGTTGAAAACCTGCAAAGGTACATATGTTTTTTATGTATCTATTCAACCTAAACACATGACCAAACATGCCATATCAAGGACACCCAATATTCAAAAGTTGCCTCCATGGTTCGAAGATTACTTCCACTGAACAAACTAGCTGCTAGGATTAAGTGACTGTCACGGAGTCAGCTTTCATACCTCGACTAGGTTTCTATCAACTGTTAGGCGATTCAGGGTGAGAGTTCCGGTTTTGTCACTGCAGAGGACATCCATTCCTGCCATCTCTTCAATTGCTGTCATCCTTTTTGTAATGGCACCCTAAGTCACAAAATAAAAGACAAAAGATATGCAAATGATGTCAGTGAATATTTCAGATTATGCTATATAAGTCCATCGATTTCTTTGGAAGCATAAATTTTCTTGAAGGTTCCACAATATCATGGACTTAAAGCTATTAAGAGATGCACCTGTTGAGAAAGTCGATGAGAACCAATGGCAAGTGTAACAGATAACACCGTTGGCATGGCAATCGGAATTCCTCCAATTAAGAGAACAAGAAGGTTGTTGATCCCATCCCTGTAAGAGCGGTGCTGTATTGGGAACATGACAATGATTTCAAGAATCATTCCCACAGCAATAGAGCAAATGCAGAAATTCCCAATGGCAGTAAGGACCTGCAGAAAAATCACATTACTGATGTCACATCGCGATTTCAAACTTTTGAACCATCATCATGTTAGGCTATTTAATTACCTGCTGGAAATGTCCAACAACTTCAGTGGAGTCCACCAAATGTGCTGCCTTTCCGAAAAAGGAGTTAACTCCAGTTGCGATCACAACAGCTTCAATCTCTCCATGTTTACATGTTGAACCAGAAAATACTTCATCACCTGTCTTCTTGGTGACAGGTAGTGACTCTCCTGTAAGAGCTGACTGCCAGAAACAAATTCAACAATACTACTTCATTTCCGGATTCGTATTAAATTTATATCGAAATTACAAGCATATCAATCAGATATCCATTTATCAACAGAAGTTGGCTCTTGCCTGGTTTCAACCAAAAAAAAAAAGAAAAAAAAAAAGCACTTGCCTGGTCAACTTTCAGCGCGTCTCCTTCAAGCAGACGAGCATCAGCCGGAATGATGTCCCCGAGCTTAATGCTAATTATATCACCTGGTACTAAAATAGCTGCATCTTGCTCTGTCCAGCGCCCATCTCTGAGAACCTGCATAAAAGACATGTGAGCTAATAATCTATCGTGTTCCTAAAGATGATATTCTCTGAGCCAAAGGCATCAAGCAAACCGGCATACCCTTGTCTTCGGAGCTAAGCGATCCATTAGAGCTGATGCAGCATTTCCTGCATTATTCTCCTCTATGAAACTAATCGTTGAGTTGATGATAAGCAGGATAACAATCCCTACAAAGTCCTGCCAGTCAGGACCCTCACCCTGAACGAACATTCCATTACAGTATAAAGTTATGAATCAGAATTTACGTTTCCCTGAATCGAAAATGAATACTTAGTTTAAGAGTCTACTTACTCCGCCATTAGCGAGGACAAGAGCCATTATAGCTGCAGCTTCCATAACCCATGACAAGGGGTTCCACATAAAACCAAGGAACTTCAAAAATTTGTTCTCCTGCATTGAAATTAATGGATGTGAATTTAGTTATGCCAGGAACAACTTAAATAATGAATTTAAATGAAGCACGTTTGGGAACTGTGGTGCTTACAGTCTTCTCTTCAAGCTTGTTAAAGCCAAAAATCACCAATCTGGCTTCAGCATCTTCGGTTGAAAGACCTTGTGGTGATGTCCTCAGTTGCTCGAAGACTTCTCCCAATGGCAAGCGTTCCTGTTACATTGGAAGTGTTTTAAAATGCTATTGTAGGGGAGTGAATTCCAAAATGTGGTTGTTGTTGTAGTATAACCAATGCATAACCTACCAAATCGATACCATCCCGATTGAAATTCACCGGATCCAACAATGGTTTCTCCAGATCTTCAGCCATGATTTAAGCTTTCAAATCCTGAATTTATCAAATGTGCATCGCATCATTAGGCTGGCATCAGTGCCACAATCAAGTAGGTACAGAATCGGCATCATAATTTTGAAAAAAAGAGGATAGGCCTTAGGTTCAAATCTCACCATTCGAGAGAACCGAAAAGAATTTACTGCATTCCCTAATGAATACCTAATTCTAACTAGTTTCGATCTTAAAATTTCTATAGTAAGTGGCATTTGAGTGCATCACCATGTCAATCAGTTTGTGCAAACACAGAATTCAAAACCCATGTCCAACTTCTGCATCACTCCCACAAACAAACAAGAATTCCACATTAACATCAATGCAGATTAGTTAGGTGAGAGCTATCATCATTAACCACATAATTAAGACCCTTAATCACCATTAAGAACAAACCCCGTCTGCCCAAATCACTAATTAGCATCATGCAAACAATGAACATAGAGAATAAAAAACACAAATGCAACCCACTATTGGGATTCACAACTCAACTGGGAACTTGGCAATGTACTTACTGATGATTGAAAAATCTCGACAATCGGGAAGTACCCGAGTGAGCACTTGGGGAAGAACAGAAGCAGAGAAAGATGAGGCTTTTTAGCTCCTCCTCTTGCTCTGCTGAAGTGGGTACAGAGAAGAGTAAGGAAGGAGACGCTATAAGCTGTTATAATAAAAGTAAAGAAGTGATTGTGATTAGAAGTATTTCCTTTGACACCTCCTCTTCCATCTAATTGATTTGGTAGCTGACGGTTGGTTGAATGAAAAGCAGATGATGATCTGCTTTCAGCATCATGTCTCAATTCAAGTCGCGCCATTGTCTCACAACGTGTTTGTTGTCCTTCTTAATTGATTACTGAGAGAGAGAGAGAGAGAGAGATGGAAGAACTGGGTTGGAAGAGGAAGGGAGGGTGGGAGGAAGAGCCGTTGGGTTTAACTACCTTTCAAAGCTTACCCTTCCGACCCAACCGTCTCTCCCTCCAAATTGCAAGCCCAAAATTGTCAAATACTATGACGGGGTCGTTAACGTGCGTGCTTGCCTGTTGCAACTTACCAACTACAAATATGTTCGAATAAAAAGAAATATACAAAAATGTTTGAAAAAAAAAAAAAACAAACAAATACGAATATGTGGCCTGCATAAATTAATGGGAACTTTAACGAAAAGCACCCGGTACTATTCACTTTAACGAAAAACCACATTTTTACACTAAAAAGTCAATCCTGGTACTATTCACTTTACCATTTATTTTGTCATTATCATTAAAACTCAAAGTTTTCAAGCCATTTTCATTAGTTTTCCATAAATTAATTTCTACTTTGTGAGATAGCGACGTGAGAAATCAAAATTACATGCGCCTCAAATCTTCTCAGTCTTGACAAAATTGTGAGAAATTGTGCGGGTTTATTTTCGCTTTTACCCTGGGGTCGTACTATGATACGTATTAGAGAGTGTATAGGAGCAAGTTCACTTATTTTAGGAGGGCAAGGGTAAGGGAAAGGACAAGAGTGTTGCCTTTTGGAAAGTGGTTGCCTTTATGCAAATTCACTAGTTCGGTAAGGGTAAGGATGATTACTATTCACAAATATATAGTTTTTATTTTTTATGCCTTGTAAGTGTGTTTTTAACTGCTTACTTTGTAAGTTTATTCTTATAAAACTTCTGGTTTAACTTCGAGAATTTAATTTATACAAAGCAAAATATAGCATTACAAACAAACATAATTAACTAAAAATAAAAAACGAATGAAGAAGATGGTTGGGCATTTTTTATACTAAAAAAATTAAAAATTTCAGTAATTTTTTTTCTCTTTTTGTCCATTTTTAATGATTAGATTAAGCTTTACCGTTGGGTTTCTTTTTTTTTATTGAATCCAACAGTCCAGAACGTGCCACGTGGCACAACAATACATTTTCAAATTTTTTTTATTGTTAGAAATCTAACATTCCGGATCATTAGGCTGTTGGAAATCTAACGACTATCATCTCACCACGTCAATTAGCAGTTGGCACAAAGTTTGGATCTGCAGCAACGGAACCCACAACAGCAAAAGTTGTTGACCCACTCGTCCAATCTGCATGTATTTTACACTCGCCAGACAAAAATAAAAAAAACCCGCACGTAGCTGACCTCAACTTTGCCTATTTGCCAAACCTGCTTAAATTGCCCGGGCTTCTGGCTAGGCATGTGTTGCCCCACCAATTGACCTCCACGAAATAGACCAGTGGAAGTAAATTTTTGGGCTAAAGAGCAACTTGGTATCCCTTGCCTTGCCTTTTGGGTAATGGCTAGACTTGCTCTATGCAGAGTGTAATTTACATTGGGTCAACCCAAACTAACCCATGCTCAGTTTTGTTTGAAACTCGATCAAAGAGGTTTGACCGTTTGAATTCAACCCGACTTGACCTCAACTCAAGTTTTCATGGGTTGGGTTGATGCCTAGTTCACCATGTTTAACCCAACCCGGTTTCTAACCCAAAATTTGCACTATTTATTCCACTTCATATTATATAAGCTACATATAAATTTTGAAATGAAAACGTGAAGTTTATTGGTGATTTTCATTTGGGATGAAAACTCTAAAGTGGACGGTGATGTTCAAAAGACCTACATAACATTATTCAATAATTTGAAACATCTATTTTTTTTTTAAATTATTCATGAAGAAAAAAATCCACATCAATTATGTTCAAGTGTCATCATTTAAATTTTATCAAGTACTTTCACATTATTATACTAAGGACACTCCATCAGGGACTTTCACATTTTTCTTATACAGAGTTATAGAATTACTCCCTGTAGCATTATTAATATATATATATATATATATCTTTTTTTTTTTTAAAGGAGACAATTGGTGGCAAGCCACAATTATCTATCTCTTCCAGATCTGGAGAGCTTATGGGGTTTCGCCCTGCTCGTGGCCACAATTAAATAGACTCATCAACTTGGAGAATCGAACCCGGGACCTTCCAAAATTTTTTGTTTATTGGGGAGCTACAGTTCGTGCCCTTACCACTGGGCCATTTGCTGTGGTTTCCCTGTAGTATTATTTTAAGGGGGCAAAAATGGAGAGTTAGACTACACAGTCCTTCATTTTGGAAACTAGACAGCTAGATAGTTGCAAGAGTATAGGTGACAAATCAACCCATTGGGTTGTTAACGGGTACCCGTTAAGACAAGTTTAATTTAATATCACCATAATATAGAAGTGACATTGGTACTGGTGATGATGGTGTAAAGTAAAATCAAACTAAATATGTATTAATTGGTACTCATGAACACTCCAATATATTGATGAGTAGTTTTAATTAGACCCAAAAATTATCTTTCTACACCAATTAACAAAAAGTATTCTTCATAATTCCCATTTTACCCTTATGAAAAATAATCTTTCTACACCCATTTTCAACCTAACGGTTGAAACATGTCCCTCACCAGACATAACACCACCACCCAAGCCACCACCACGTGCCTCCCTCTCAATTTTATCTGCGCTGCCTTCTCCCCTAACAAAAGTTACGTCGGACCTGATCCTGACACCTACACATCCTATTACATCTTTAACTGCTTTGACGGCAAGTCGTTCATGGCGTTTTCCAACGATGACACTTAGTTCCACCTCGTTACCGGCACGCTCCATCACTGCCAAGATTTGGTCTAAAGTAGCAGTTCCAGCCCCCATCGTTGTGGCCAAAAACACCAGGGTGAGATTTGATCCTATTGATCTATAGGATACAAATTTGAGAAACAAGAGAGAAGGAATAGGAAAAAGTGAATGAGGAAGAGAAACGATGGCGATGATGGTAGATTTGACGGCATGGCCGAGTGTCGCCGAAAACAATGTTGTTCAAGTTTTGTTCTTTTTTTTTTCCTTTTAGTTTTTGTAAGGGTAAAATCAAGAGTTTAGGTGCAAAAATATTAAAGTTAGGTGTCAAAAGAGGATAGCTGGGTTCAAATAAAATTTCCTTAAATTTTGTATCTAGAGTTATGGGATTCAAATCTATGCATGTGAAAGGAAATACACTTTTCATGTTCTTTCTTAGACTTTCCACCCATATAACCTATCATTAAAATCCTAAAATAAGAATCCCCCAAATAAGAAAAGGGCACAATTGCAACTTTTTCCTTGCCTACCATTACCATCTCATCTTAGGTCTATCTCTCTTGATGACACTTAGCATGATTCTTATCCTAAACAAATCAATCAATTATTGCATAATTAGTGCTACTGCATGACCATTGACCCCCAATTTTATTAGGTGTTGCTATTTTTATTGCTACCTTTTAGAAGTACATGTATGCCATTGGAGGATGCTTTTCATGTTTTGTTAGGTTCCTTTCATGAGTCAACATTTCATCAAGTTAAGTGGCATGCACAAACAAAATCAAATTGCACGCCTTTCAAATCTTATCAAGCCATATTTCAATTTTCAATTATTTAATTTAATTTAGACAACAAAAAATTTCACTAAATATATTGTTTTTAGCCAATAATTAATCTCAGCTTTGCATGTTCCATACAGTATTCTTGCTCCCCCCCCCCCAAACAAAACAAATTCCAGCCGAAAAGAAAGCATTTTAAAGTAGCATGTGACTTTGCGGTCTTCACCTGAAAAATAAGCTAGATAGATTTTTTCAAAAGTGGTACACCATGTATCATAAATGTGGATTCAAATTTCTTTCTCTTTGTTTTTGGACAAAATTGCACCTACAAAACAAACAACACCTTAGGTCAAGGCCAAGAGCCTCACGCGCCCACGATGAATTTTGGGGGGGGGGGGGGAGGGGGGGCTTTGGCCGAAAAATCTCAGATGCCAAAGTTAGAATTTTGAGGGAAAAATGTTTGAAGAATTTAGAGAATTTAGCAAGAGTATTGGAATTGAGTTTTGGAGAGAATAATGGGGTTTATATAGGGGTGTGGCCGGCCCCCTTGGGAGAGGAAGAACCGGCCACATGGATGAATTTGTGGGTTAGGTTCATGATTTATGTTTAATTAGCTAATTAATTGAATAATTAATCAATTAATTGGCTAATTAATATAATAAAAAATGAATGATTTAGAGGTTATTTTGTGGAGAAGATATGATGAGGGATGCATGAAATAGGTTATAAATAAATACCTATTTGGGCATTTTTGACTTGATTGAGGGATGATTGTCCACTTCTCGAGCGTAGGAATTCCGGTGTGCCTCGAGGGTAATCTTGTCACGTGTCGCCTCTTGATTATTTTTTGCTCCACAATAAATTTATTATATAAGTGAAAAGCCATTGAAGAATATATCCTAAAGTATGACATATCAACCCTATTGTCCACTTAGATTTCGAAAAATGAAATGGGAACAGGCATCAACAAAAAGCACTTTTGAGGAGCGGGAGAAATTTGAAATTATGTGGGGTGGGGGGGGGGGGGGGGGGTGAGGGGGATGAGCTCATTTTTTCACGTGCAAATAACGTATCTTTACAGTAGAAACTTCACAATTGGAAACGTTAAATCATTCGAATCGAAGATCATTTAGTTATATAAATATATTAAGTAAGTGGATGGTTCCTCATTAATATGTTACATGATACTTATATTGTTGATGTATGTGGTACATTTGAATGACTAAATGATGTCCAATTCTAATGATACGTTATTCGCAAGTCTTCGAAACCAGAAAGCATGTCAGTATGTTCATACTCTAAAGATGTAAAGAGTCAAACTCAAGTCAACGATCAAGATGATGCCACTTGTCAATAGATTAGGTGATGAAGTGTTAAATTTG